AAGCAGTGTTTCTGCACTTGTGTGGAAAAGGGATTGTTTTTACAGAGGCCTGTCCCTTCACATGAGTTTTTTAAAAAAAAAAAAAAAAAAAAAAAAGGGAAGAAAAGTAGAATCGGTTAAAATAGCAGAATGCTGAAACCATAATTTCTGTTGGGTTTTTATCCTGAGATAAGTTTGCAAGTGATTCTAGTTAGTCATTTGCTGGTATGGGTGGATTCTGGCAATGTGGAAGATAACTATGTCAGCTCAGCTACCTTTCCAGGACTAAGTCACCAACCATTCACTTTCAAAATCCAATTGAAAAGGAGGTTGGCAGTTTTGGGGTGAGGAATAGGATATCAGCACTCTTGAACTTTGCAGAAAATTACTTGAGGGAGAGAAAGATTTAGATTTTGTACAAATGCAGTATAACCAACCCCATAATTGAACCTATTGTTCATTATACTAATGGATCGCAATCTTAAAGTTTCAACAGATATATTTTTTATTATTTTGCATAGATTTTGTTAACTGTTTTTCTCATTTACTGCAAACTCTGCTGTCTTGAGCATTTGCAATCCAAACAGCTGTTGGGTGTCCAGCATTTCATTTGTGTCACAGTTCTAAGCTGAGTGATGTTTGGCCTATCATTTTTAAGATATTGTCAGTTAAAGTGAGGAGGGGAAGTTCGTGAATATATCTTTTTTTTTCTCCATACTCAAGCAAAATTTTGCTTTCTCTTTCTTTTCTTTGCATTTAAATAGGAAGACAGCTGCCTTCAGATGGTACAGAACTCACTGACAGTTGCTCTTGCTTCAGTCCTACTTCATGAGAACTTCAGAAGCTACTAACTGAGGTATTTATTTGTTCTTTTCAGTTTTTCAAGTTTTAACTTTGCAGAAATTAGTTATGTGGAAGAGGAAGACCAAGGAGACATCTAGACCAGTGAAGAGAAATCGTATATGGAAAATAGCATGAAGTTCTGTCATAAAGAGAACTACTGATAGGCTCTAATCTTTCAATAGCTAGGCACTATGTTAGTCAATCTTTTTTATATGTTGAGAAATCAAATAATTACAAATATGTCAAAAGAAAACATGTTAAAATGCAGGTAAAACATTGGAGTTTTGAGGATAATATACCCAATTTTATCTAATCCTCTGATATTCTCCAAGAATGGGCACAAGATTTTGCAGAAAATCCATAGACATAAATACCCAATTACCTAAATAATGAACCTTTCAAAACTGTCCATAATTTCTAGGTGTCTTCCTCTAATACTTAGAAGGAATTTCAATTAAAGACAAGATTTGGTATTAACACAACATACAAATGCTTTCCTCACAATTTAGCTTTCATAGAACCCTGAAATTAAATACAAAATATCTTTTTTAAATATTGATAAATATTTTTTATTGGAAATGTTTGTCATTTTTGGCAGATACCAGTGAATTAATTTCTTTGCAGAGAAAAGAACACCATTTGTATATGTAAACAAAGTCTGATAAAGGATTTATGGCCAGAGAATTCGTGAAGGGAAAAAAGTATGTTGTAAGCCTGTGATCAGTTGGATTTGTGTCAGTCCTAAATTTATGATCTGCAGCTGTTAAATGTGTGATAGGAGCTTCGTCTTCTAAAGCGTGATGACAGTGTGAGCACAAGGCTGAGAAAAGGAACCACAGTGCTTTGGGAAATGAAATTGTCCAAACGTGGGTGATGGTTGCAATGCTTCACATAGCACAAACCTTTTATTCTGCAAATCTTAAAAATGTATGTTTTAATGCCTTTTAAATCGTGGAAAGCTAGCAGCACAGATTCTAACATATCTGAGTTTGAGCAAGAAGTCTGCGGGTCAATGTTTGTGTAGGCAGTCTAATGTAAGCAGTGCCAGATGCCAGACTGGGATTCTTTTTCTGCATTTGAGAGCTCAGAGCTTTAATGGTACTGCAAAAAGGCAAAAAAAATAGATCTTATAACTTCTATAATGTCTGAAATCTGAAAGTATATAATATATGCAACTTTTTTATATATATATATATATATATAGCTCCTAGTATTTATGTGTATCTGTGCATATATATGTGTTTTAGATACCAAATAGGATTAACTTCTTGGAAAGATTGGTAATTGTTAGTATGGTTCTTGTATAAAATCTATATGTGCTATTATAGGTATATTGCAATAGCTGTATTTCCTTTTTTAAGAGACTTTTCATATGCCAGCCAGTATATATTATAGCTAGAATAATATTAGCATTAAAATGAAAAGTTTTCAGAAAATGAACTCTTAAAATTCAGTTGAGATGTTCCATACAGATTCAGAAAATAAAGCTGAAGTCTTTTTTGTTCCTAATTTTGCATTGTGTGCTGCTAGCAGCCAGCTCTGATAATGGTTTTCACATGCAGGTTCTGTGGAGTGCTCACATTCTCAGATTTTAATAAAGAAGTTGGTGTTATGTGACAGGTTGAGCGATTTCAGTGCACATTATGGATTGGTTGTGTCTTACAGCGGGGCAGTTCATTTCTGGAGTCAGTGCACAACCGTTTTAGCAGTAGAATTAACCGCTTATGTCACAGATTATAATTAGCTGTGTCTGTGTGCCAGAGCAACAGGATGGAATGCAAAACATAGCCAAACATGTGAACGAATTTTCTTCCAGTGATATTTGGCCAGACCTAAAATATCTTCCACTCCAGATCTGAAAGTAGTGGAAAAGTTAGACAATTCTCTCTTGGAAAGAGACCGGTTGTAGTTTATTCACAAGTCCACATTGTTTCAAATTTCTAAGGTAAGTAACAATTTTTAAAATTTATTTTTATATCTGTATTGAAACATCAGCATGTTAACAAATGAGTTCTTTTTATTTGTTCTTTACTTGTCACATGGTTGTGTTGAGCTTCTCCCCTAAGTTTCTGTGCAACATTTCAGACTGACTTTGTCCTTATTGAAGGTTCATTTTGATCCTTGGCCTAAATTATGTGTTCATTTTTAACAATTATTATTTTAGATTCAGATAGTTTATTTATACTTGTTTTTACAATTTAATGTAGTATTAACTTACATAGTTTAAACCTGCACTTCTGTAATATTAAGAAGCTAAATTAGAAATTTTAAGTTCAATAACTTTTAAATCTTTTACAGTATCGTGTTACTGTACTTATATAAATACCTGATTTGCAGTAGTAAACCTCTGACGCTTGTAGCTATAGGTATCTCTCAGTTTATTTATCACATACCAAAAGTTAAATTTAGTCAAGAGTGGATCCATGGTTCTGCTGAACACTTCTTTTTGGCTTGATTGTGTGATAAGAACCTCCCACCTGAGGAATTGTTTCCAAAATTCCATGAAGCGTACTTGAATTAATATAGGGCATATAATTATGTGTGTACAGACCTCCTTTTGCAAGTTTTTAATCTCCTTGAATTTAGATATATTTTATCTTGGATAATTTAACTGCCTGAGAGAAAATTACCAACTAGGTATCAGTGGATTACTGACTCATTATCAAATGATTTATTGCATGATACTTAGTGTCTTGCCACCAACAGGTGCTTGCACTGCATACTTAATCATGAATCTGAATGAGCACATAAGTTCCTAAAACAGGATATTGCCAAAGTGTAGGAATGTGATTTTAGTGCATCAACACCAGTCAGCTAGGCTCCTTTTACCAAGGTATGGGTGTTTCAACTATATCTGTCTTAAATCTCCTCCTACTCGAGGAGGAGGTGAATCATGTCCTAGAAGTGTCCGTCTATCTCCATTTTCTGTGGAGGGGGCCTAGGTGAGTGTGGCTGGTGTTGTCTGTGTTTGGAGAGATGAATTTTGGCCTGCACAGCCACTTCCAAATGAGTAATCCATTTGAGTGAACTGTAGGAACTTCATACCATAAAGTTCTGGAAGTTTGCCATCAGTTAAGATTTTGGAAGTTTTGTTTGTGATACAGTCACAAATGATGCCTCTTTGGCTGAGATGCATTTCTATTTATCTTCTAAGCAAATGTTCTATTAGATACACCCCTCCTTTCTATTATGTAATGAAAAAAAATGGTCCTAGAATACCACCAAAGGTTAAGAACAACTGCATGGGATTAAATTAAAAATAAAAGGGTCTAAATTAAGCCCAGCATTAGAGGGAACCACTTATAATCTCTTTTCCAAACTTTTATGCTTTTGCTAACAGCATGCAGCTCTTTCCTGGTTGAAAATACAGTGGTTTAAAGATTGTTATATTTTGAGTTTTATTCATAATCATAAGGCACATGAAGTTACATATACAAAGAGCCTCTTGCTTGAATAGCCTCATGAGATTTATTTCCTTCTTGTGGATAGTAATGCCTTGTACATGAAATACAAATCTCAGGTCCTAACCTCTTAGTGTTTTTAATTATTTTCATGACTTGGAATTAAGTAAGATGGATTTTCTGTAGACTTACTTCTCAGAGTTGATTGTCTTACATGTTTAACAAGCAGTGACTGGAGGTTTTTTGTAACACCTACAAGGTCTTTTTCTCACATCAGATATTTTATAAGGTCTTCATGCCCATTGTGATCCCACAGTAAAGACATAAACAAAGGTTCTTATTTTCTCTGTTACCTCATTTTCAGAAAGTTTGCAGGAATGTAGTATTTGAGGCATCTGCTTGTCTGGTGAATTTTGTTGAAATTGGCCAGGAAACTCAAAAGCTGTTGAAGGAGGTAGAGAAAATGAATGAGAGGCAGATGATTTAGACATTGACATAAGGTTTGGTTGCTTTTTTATTTATTAAACCAGGCTAAAAGCATCATGGCAGCTTGGATAACAGGTTAATTCAATATCCTGGTCAAATTTTCAGCTCGGGTAATAGTATTCTCACTATTTAATTCATCTTAGCTTTGGCTACCTGGGCCATCTTCTCATTAAACTTTTCTGTATATCTGCCAAAAGCTGTTAAACAGCTGCTGCATTTCATGCCATGGTTGGTTATGTTTCTATGGTGGATGGACTCTGTATAAAGACTGTGAAGAGAAAAATAAACTAGAATACATAAATGTTTTTTTAAATGGAATGGGGTAGGTAGTGAAGTGTTGGATAATGCTGGTGGCAGCCATAAAACAAATGCTTTTCAATAAGGTGTATGTTTGTGTTTGTGGGTATATGTATCCAGAGGGTTACCTTTAAGAATCACGTATATATGTATTTTCAATAAAGGGATGTAGAGGTGGAATCATCTTGTAGTAATGACTGTTAAAACTCTTCAGTTCCTCCTTTTTTATTTGCTGTGCTGTCAGTGCTCTGAGGAGCAGAAGTTTTAGTACCTTTGCTTCACCTTAATTTTTCCAGTATTCCAAATGTCAGATACTAAGTTTTATACAGACTTTTTGCATCCTTGCCTTATTAGTTGTGGATACTACTGGCTTTCAGAAAAGGCTGACTGTGTCAAGTACAATAGCCTGTTTCACATTAAAGTTTCACATAGGTCCTACCTTGAATTTCCAAGCTGTTAGACCTTTCTGTGAGAAGCATGCAGGCTCCTGATGGAAGTAGACATGTCTGCAGAGTTCCACTGCACCCAATTCCCTCAGTTTTGAGGGAAAGGATTTTAAGTGAGAGGCAGTAATAATTAAGTAAAAAACAGTCTGGTGACTCCAGACTGCTGTAAGCAGAATAAAATGGAAGAGTTTCTTTACAAATAAGTGCTCTGGAATGGTAGTGAGTCACAGAGCATAGCTGTGGTAATGAACCCTAACCACAGACCAGCCTACGTTAGCAGTGCTGGAGATACCAAGCTCCTTCCAAAGGCCTCTTCCAGTCCAGTTTAAACTGGAATAGATGATTTTCAGAGGTCCATTGCAGCCCAATTTTTTCTAGGATTCTCAGAATTTGTTCAGATTTTCCTGACTGTTCACTTTATTGTTATTATTAATTACCTACTTGTTTTGTTTAGTCACCTGTCTACTAGCTCGTCCTCTCTGCAATGTTTCAGAGTTCACAGAAGAGGATATCACAATTTAATAAATACGTGAGATTGGTAGGTAGCAGTATTCTCAAGCCACATAAAGTTGCTGTAAATTAATGAGAATTATTTGTAATATTTGACTTTTACTTGGAAATACAAGGAAGGAAGTACATGGATTCAGAACTTAAAGCTAAAAATCTGACAGTATTACTTTAATATCAGGATTCCCTATGAGCTGAAAAGCCATGGGAAGATACTTGTACACCTGTCAGAAAAGGTTGCTGTTATTGATTGCCTGAGTGAAAGTTTTCTCAGTAGGGATAATAAAATTATAAGACAGATTTCAGTATGTGAAGGAAGAAGAGGTTGATTTGAGTTTGGTCTGAGTGCCAAGCAAGCGAGTGAGCATGGTGAACAATCCAAAAGCCAGCACTGAAGGCTGAGCAGAGAAGGCAGTGTCACGTTTGTTCCCTCCACATTCATGTGGCAGTGTCCTGGCACTCGCTGTGCCTTCGCAGTACACCCCAAGATTTCTATCATGCATTCTGGTGCTGTAAAAAGTCGTGTTTCAGGGCTGAGGTGGTCAGAGTTCACCCAGAGGGTACCCAGAGTGTGTTTTATGAAGTGTAGTTGGGTGCAGCATAGAATTTTACGGAGGTGAGCCAAACCATTTGTAGGGTGGGCAGCAAGACCGAGATAAGACCTGGTGGTCCTGTGCTGCCCATGCTGCTTTTCAAGCCATTTTTCTAGTCTCAAATGCTCAAACAGACCTGATGTAGCCTGTACACCAAAATCTTGCCTAATTTTCAGCCCTACTGTTTGGTATAAGAAAAGATTATTTTTTTAGCAACACTTTTCGTCCCTGTAACATTCTATTTCTAGTTTTGTTCTGTTATTGTAAGTATTTCCCACTTAGTGAGAATACTGATCACATCTGCTGAAAACTGTTATTTTGCTTAAACATGGAACTGCATTACAAAATATTTTATTTCATTTTGAATTATTTAATGAGTCATCTAATATTATGTTTGATGCATGTGTGGAGATAATGCTTCCAAAAACAGAAAAGCAGTTCTTATATTGACAAAGTTGTGTAAGACTATTAATTGTCATAACAGAGAAAAAAGCATTTCTAAGCTATATCTGACAAAATCACTGTATTTATTTGGGTACCCGCCATTCTTTCTGAATTAGATACTCTGTTGAAATTTGTTAATAACAACTTCCACAATCTGTGGGAGCGCTTGCTTTTTAAATAGATATTCTTATTTAAATAATTTTGCTTTTAGTTGAACATCTGTTGGACTGATAGTATTGTGATTCACCCTTGGTGATTGTTTTAACTGATTTTAGTTACATTTATGGAAGAAAGACCTGTATCCCTTTAGTCATACTGAAAACATATAAAATAGTATTTAAATTCAGAACATTAATATGACTGTCTTCCTGTATCATAAATCCTAAGGCACCTAGTAACAAATTACTTTAACTCAAGAAAAAAATTTAAAAAATTATGTAGAAATAATCTTTGATTTAGGATTGTTTAGTAAGTGAAGCATATAAATGGCTAGAATGCAAAATAAGGAAAACAAAGGCAGCAGAAAGTAAAATTAATCTGTATTCCTTTACATTATCAAAAGATTCCATCTTTTGGTGCCTTTTCTTTTTTTTTTTTTTCACTTTCTTCAGCATCCCTAGGTACTTCCTCTTTCTCCCCATATTTTACAATCTCCACTTATGCATCTCATGTTCATTTCCTGAGTGTACTCACTGCTTAACCTTTTTCTCTTATCCTCAAGTGTCTACTCACAGTGTTTATTTTAGTGTAATTAAAATGTGGAGATTTTTT